ACGATTAGAAGGCATGAGGCGTGAAAGTAAAGGTTAGTGAGAAAGAACATGAGATCGGAAATGTAATGAGATGAGAAAGGTATGGCATTCTGTATCTATAATATTGGCGGTGATCTATCATCCAGGTTCTGAGCAGCTTCATCTAACTTGGGAATGGTACCAATTATTGGCGTTGAACAATCATCCAGATTGTGAGCAGCTTCATCTAAGTTGGGAATGGTTCCGATGGGTCGGTCATTGTCAGACTTATCCTGCGCTTCACCAAGTTTCTTTTCAGAGTCACGACTTGACTCGGGCTCGGCCCGGTTGATGGTATAATACTTCATCTTGATGTCTTGTATCCAGATATCCACCTCATCATTAGAAAGGGCGCTGGGGCCCTTCCAAAGCATCATATCGGTAATGCTGCTCTCCGGAGTGCGGTTGAATGTTAGTTTCACGCCGCCACGAAACTCCTTGGTCTCAAATACTTTCTTCAGGTCCGCAACCTTGGGGTGGGCGTCTCCCTTGCCCTGATAGCCCCCGCGCAAATGTGGTCCTTTTTGTAAAGGCATCATTAGCATGAGACCGACCAGAGGCAGAGGTAGAATGACGAGTAAAACCATCTACATACCCATCAACTCGTTCAAAGCTTTCGCGAGTTCAGCCCTACGATTGGCTTGGCGAGCAGCGGCTTCCGACATTGGCTTAGGCTCTTTTCGTGTTGTTCGGAGATGTTGTGGCGCCTTGGTTGATTCAAAGGTGAATCGTTCAAGAAGGTGAGTTTTTTGTTCTGACCGGGCCCACCTTTCACATGTGGTGAACTCGTCCTGAAATAGCGCATTGGAGCCAGTGGATGCCGGGTTCCAACGGGCCACAAGGAGGTGGTATTGTAGATTGAAGTGACTGTTCAAGAGATGAAACTGGTTGACCAAACAAGTTGAATGTAAGTTAAAGTGGGGTTAATTCGAGCTATCGATCGTAGTTAATCTCATCACTTACCTGGCGAACTGCTTTGCTGATTTCTTGATTTAGAAGTTGCTCGGAGGTGTGGTTCTTGCTTTTGCCACTATGCCTCCAGAGTCGGCCGTCATGTAAGTCATGTGATACCTTAGTTAGATTGACCAAGCGCTCAAAGATAGGAATGTATTTTTCGCATTCCTCCTGCGTCAGTGGTTCAAGGCCAGCGGTTGTTGTTTTGGCGGAGGGAGGAATTCCTAGAGGTGTTGGTTCAAGGCCAGCGGTTGTTGTTTTGGTGGAGGCAGGAATCCCTAGAGGTGTTGAGGTGAGTGCATACGCTTTGCTGGTCCCGATACATAGGCGCTCGAATAAGCGAGGGGTGAAAACTTTGTGTTCGTCCTTGTCGTAGTTGGACCAAGTGTTGCCAACTATGGTATTACGTTCCGGAAAGCCCTGAGATACGCCCTTGGGTGGCACTGTGCGATCAACGTAAGCGACCTGTTTCATTGATATGTTTAAGATTTTTACTATAACAAAACAAATAACGTACTTGGTGTTTTGGTAGCAACGTTGCTATACGTTTGATAATTTGTGTACATGTTGGGTTCGCGCGAGAGTGGTCCTTTGAGTCTATGGAGGCAAGGCTCAAGGTTAGTATTATTCGACTTCTTGGACTCGTAAAGACATGACCAGTTGTACTCACAATGCGTCATCGAGGACTTTTCTACTGCACTTCAAGACAATGCAGAGCATTGTCTTGTCTAGCTCATAGGACACTTGGAGTGCCTGTGCCTCGTAGAGGCCAATGGCTGATATGCGGTTGTTCTTTGGTAAGTCAAGTTGAGCTAGATTTCGCTCCGCACGCGGCATACCCCATTCGTTTCCCAGTTGGCAATAGTTACTCATGTTTGGAGAGGTGCTAGAAGTCGTAGGGTGTTTGTCGTCTTCGGTGTGGGTGGTTTCAAGTGGGTGTTCGTCGTCTGTGCGTCTGCGCTTCTTGGTCCTTGGGGGATCAGTGGCTTGGCTGAAAGTGTCGATGTTGTGGTTCGTTTTGCGTCGTGGTCCAGCCGTATTGGTGGGAGGAGCATAGCCTGCTGATGAATCGGTTTCAGGTGACGCTGACTTTTTTCGTCTGGTGGTGCGACGGCTGGCTGGCATGTCAGGTGAAGGTACAGTTTTGTCGAGTGGGGTGGAGGTAGGTGATCGATAGTCGAGATAGGTGATGACGATAGTTAGATGAGGTTGGTTTTGATTGTAAGTTGGGTGGTGGAGGTGAATTTAGGTGCGTACGCTAGGGTGGGTTGTGGTTTTGTTAAGGGTAGCCTTTTTTGGGTTTGGTGGTGAGATTCCAAGGTGAGCTAGTGACTTATTGAGACAGGTGGTGATATTGTATCTGTCGTGGTGAGTTTGTTAGTTCAGTGGTGAGTTTGCAAATTGGGTGGTGATTTTTTCAATTAGGTGGTGAGATTGAATGCGTCGTGGCGATTTTTCTGCTTAGGTGGGGATATTTTAGCTGTGGTGGTGACTTTGTTGATGAGGTGGTGAAGTCTTTTGTAAGGGTGGTGATAGTAGGTGCAAGTGCCAAGGGTCCCCCCTTAGGAGTTGTGGACTTAGAGCGATTTCTAGGTCACCATAGTTCCAACTAAAATTCTAAGACTTTCTACAGGGAGAGTTTCGGACTACATAGGATGTTACAGGTCTTTGTATCATCCTATACACTCGGTGCAATCCAGTGCACACAGGTGGTATGTACTATTCTTGGTTTTCAAATTAGAAGCCTTCTTTCGAGTGACTCGTGGTGAGGTGACTTTTGTTGAAGTTGAAGGTGTACACCTGGCTTTCTTGCTTGGCTGGAATATTTTGACACTCAAAGGCAGATCACCATCACCATCACTATCACTATCACTATCACCATAATTCGCTTCTTCATCTCCATCATCTAATAACATCTCCTCATAAGTCAAATGTTGAGATGCCTTTCTTTTAGCTTGTCGTTGAGGTTGTACCGGCTTACTGGTGGAAGGTCGAAGCCAAGGATTATTTTTTACATATTTGTCAGCCAGAAAAATTAGCTCAAGGCTAGGTTCTCCTTTAGTGTCGTCAAGATATCTGGCAAAAACTTCATTGTTATGTAAGACCACAGGTGCTTTCCGGCCACGGCCGGTTTTGGCCAGGTTGAAATACTCAGAGTTGTAAACTTTGGGTGCCTGAGGGTAAAGAGGAGAGTCAACAGAGTGGTCCCACAGGTTGAAGATGCCTTCCTTAGTGTCGTCCAAGAGTGTCAACGATGACCTATCCACAGTGAAAGTTCCCCGAAGTAGACCATGAGCGAAAGAGCCGGTCTCGTATATCACCATCCATCCTACAGAGCATACTCGGCCAGTGTGAGTAGTGAAAGGTGGAGGTTTAGGTGCTGCTGGGTGACCATTAAACATGCGGTTGCTGCTAGCTTGTTTCTTGGCAGCAGCTTGCTTTGACTTGTCGCTTTGAAGTTGGTGGACATGAGTACCAGTGGAAGTCGAGGTACGGGCTGCAACAGCTGCTTTGGCATTGATGACCTTGAGATTGGCAGGGCGGGGTTGAGAAGCTTGGGTGGGTGCCTGCTGGGGGGGAGAAGGAACCTTTTTGTTTTGGTCCGCATTGATGTTTTCAAGGCAGGGTCCACATATTTTGTGTTCGCCTTGACGGAGAGTACTTTGACATAAGGGACAAGTAGGTCGGTTCATGATAGTGAAATATGAGTATCCGAGAGAAACCAAAGTCAAAGAAGAAGCTGATTGAAGCTGAATGAAGAAGATTGAGGTTGATCGAAGAAGATTGAAGTTGATCGGAGAAGATTGAAGTCGATCAAAGAAGATTGAAACCGATTCAAGAAGATTGAAGAATATTGAAGAGGATTCAAGAAGATTGAAGAAGATTGAAGAAGATTGAAGAAGATTGAAACCGATTCAAGAAGATTGAAGAAGATTGAAGAAGAGTGAAACCGATTCAAGAAGATTGAAGAAGATTGAAGTCGATCGAAGAGAATTGAAGAATACTAGGGAACAATGAAGCCGATACAAGAATATTGAAGAAGGGTGAAGCCGATCCAAGAATATCAAAGAAGATTGAAGACAATCAAAGAAGGATGAAGAAGAGTAAAGATGGTCAAATAAGGATGAAGAAGAGTGAAGAAGAGTGAAGACGATCAAATAAGGATGAAGAAGAGTGGAGACAATCAAAGAGGTCCAGTGTAGTGTAGGTTTGGTTGAACAAGTGGATGGGTGGAGACTATGACAAAAGTTGGAGGAATGACTAAGATGATCGGTGATGGTGTATGGGTTGCGTGATTGGTTGAGAGGTAGAGAGGTAGAGAGGTACACTTTTCATCATCTAATGTGAAGTTTTCATTTTTGGGGTCTTTGTTTATGGTTTGTTAATTGTCATTTTTTGATTATCGACATTTGTTTTTTGATTTTTGACTTTTGATTTTTTGATTTTTTGAATTTTGAATTTTGATGTCCTCTTTTGTGGTTTCCTGGTACTTTTTGTGTCAATGCGACAATGGGGTGACAAATGTTGAGTTTCAAGTTGTAAATCTACTGAAATTTGGGCCGTAACCTGGTCTGAAAGGGGTTTCTGCCATGACTTTTACTCCGGTACAGGGGTTTTATCCCTGTATTTGAGTATTTTCTCGAGTTTCGTCTTTGATTTTTGAATTTCGCACCCGGGAATTGTGTTTTTCGTTTTTTGATTTTTGCATTGTCACCTTGACACCTCTCGCATTCCGTACATAATGTACCTTGTTCTACATGGAGTACGGCTCAAAACCTTTAGACCTCATTGATTGTGAAGTGCTTTCATCTGTACAACCACTCGCACACTACCTTGGTTGAAAAATCAACAAGTCCACATGTAGCCCCTTTGGTGCTTGAGTGTTGCCTCTTACTGAAGTACGGTCATACCTACCCCAAAATACAAGTTTTGCTCATGAGTTCTGACACACCACTCTTTTGGGATTTCTAAAACTTGCAAAAGATTCGTCAATGCTCTTTTGACCTTGTATATAACTTCACTCACACACTCAAGTCATCATGTGGCCTCTTGGCTACTTGAGTGTTGATTTGTACTGAAGTACAGTCATCCGTACCCCAAAATAATAGTTTTGCACATTACTTTTGACACACTCATCTTTTGCAAGTTCTGAAACTGGCATAAGATTCGTGGATGCTGCTTTGACCTTGGATATTACTTCACTCACCAACTCAATTCATCAGGTAGCCTCTTGGGTACTTCTACCAAAGTACAATCATCCGTACCCTGAAATAAGAGTTTTGCTCATAACTTTTGACACACTCCTCTTTTGCAAGTTCTGAAACTTGCAAAAGATTCTTGGATGCTCATTTGACCTTGGACATAACATTACCCACCAACTCAAGTCATCATGTAGCCTCTTGGGTACTTGAGTGTTGGTTTCTACCAAAGTACAGTCATCCGTACCCTGAAATAAGAGTTTTGCTCATAACTTTTGACACACTTCTCTTTTGCAAGTTCTGAAACTTGCAAAAGATTCGTGGATGCTCATTTGACCTTGGACATAACATTACCCACCAACTCAAGTCAACATGTAGTCTCTTGGGTACTTGAGTGTTAGTTTCTACCAAAGTACAGTCATCCGTACCCTGAAATAAGAGTTTTGCTCGTAACTTTTAACACACTCCACTTTTGCAAGTTCGGAAACTTGCAAAAGAATAGTGGATGCTCATTTGACCTCTCTAATTACATCACTCACCCACTCAAGTCATCATTGAGGCCCATTGACAGAGGTGAAAATCTATAACTCGAGTCTTTGCAAATGATTTCATTGTAGGGTGGCACACAAGTGTGATCTTCTGAACCAAGTTTTACAAAGTTGTTGTTGTTCAGTGGCCAGGATTGAGACCATGGTGGTTGATATGGCAGGTCCATCCAGCCAGGGGTGTTGTCAAAAAGGGCTGGTAAACCGCACTCATTGTAGGGAATTTGTGGGGAGTGTGATCATACTCAATCTCACATTTCTCACTTGCCCATTGGATGGAAAAACTCAAGTATAATCATAGAGTTAAGACATTAAACACATTACACATAGATCACAACATTATTAGAGGGGTACACATTCATATCATTTCCCCATGCATGTCATACCACCTTTCATACTCTTCCTCTTCCGCATTTTCATACTCATCTGGTTCCTCTGCTTGGATAACTGGCTTACCAGCCATAGTTTTCCACTCTTTGTCAGCCCATTTACTTACCTTGTCAAATTTCTCTTTCAAGACCTGATCTTGTTCGCCGGTGCCTTGTAAACACGTGCGCGTGTCGACAAGCGCCTGTTTGAGGTCTTTGCTCCATTTCTTCCATAGTTTGCATGCTTTCCTCGACACTATGTTATAGAGGGACATCAATCTGTTTTTCAAGGAACCACAACCCTCTAGAATAGAGTGGTCATGCAATGGAATTGTCGTCAGCATTCATTGACAATGCAAAGTTTCATACTGTGCAAATTGACTTGCTCACCTAAGTCGCCGCGGTGTTTCAGACCAACTACACAATCAAAATACCCATTTGCCCATCCAGTCATCTGACGGACTTCTCTCGCAATCCGGCGCAGATCTTCTCGGGAACTTCTTTGCGATAAGAAGCTTTCAATACCCAATCTGTCCCTCTCCCCTGCTGCACGATCTTTGGGGGTAATTTCACCTCTATTCCAGAAAGGGTTGTCCATATCCATTCCCATCACTTTGGCCAAATCAGGTAAATCAGGTTGCACTGCTTCCGGAAATTCAGTGCGGTATTTTTCAACACGCCGCTGGTAAGTAGCGTACTTGACACGAACATCTCTAGTCCTGTCACCTAAATGCTTGGCCATGTATTGTTGTTGTCTGGCGCCTGTAGAATTGTCCTTATCAGTTATACATTGTCGATATTCATGAGTCGCGAGTGCTTACCAGTGTGGCGATGACGTCGCAGCCGCGCTTCAGTCAGGCCGACCTTTGCTTCATACAACTTGCCAAGGGCCAGTGAGGTACCCAAAAGCGCATCACGCTGATTACCTGACATTTCAATTGATTGTGAGCATTTAAACTACCTTGAATAAGTTTCTAGGCTCACGTGCGGCTCCAGCGAGGTTTCGGAACTCGACACCTCCAAGCTCGTCGGCAATGGCTTCAATCTGCTCCTCAACGTCTGCCACCGAACCAGGTAACGCCATCAGGTTGTTGTTATCGGCCTGCGTCCTAACCCTCCGGCGTTTGTTTTGAATTGCCTTGAGACGATCACTGATTGAGATATAGCAGATCAAATGTAACATTAGCTGTGAAACAATATGCCAACATTAAGAATAACTCACTGTGCTACAACAAGCTCCTCTGCTAGCCCAATAAGGATCAGGAGACGCTCCCGCTTCTCTTTTGTGGTCTCATTGATCACATCGAGTTGGCGGGTCTTTTGATCATTCCACTTGTTCTCAAAATAATCTCCACCAACAGCAGGATCCGCATCAAGGAGGTTACGGAGGGCAGCCTCAGCTTCTTCCAGGCGCTTGATTGCATCTTTCCTCTTCTTAGTGAGGGAGACAGCTGTTGACTAGGTGGTTGGTCAGTATGTGGGGAGAGATAAAAACAAAGCAGTAACGTACTTGCATTGTGGCGTAAGCTGGTACAATAGTGTTTGGCTCGCAAATCAATTGCGTCGGCTTGGTGTTGACTGGTTGAGTATCTTCCAGAAGACACTAGAGTATCCAATGCAGACCAAAGACGCTCTGATCCTTCGCCGTCTGAGAGGCCCCATCCTACGTTTAGTCTTGGACTAGCCAATTGGGCGGCGGGCGCCGCCTTGGTAATCGACACTGGCTGCATGTCTCAAACTTTGGATTTTGACCCCACTTTTTGCTCAGCACACCCAAGCACTCAGAATGCAACAATTCTTTGCTGATTCTTGGATGCATTATGTAAAGTTTACATACTTTGTACATATTCCTTGGAATACCTCCAAGCATGACATTCATAGCTTTACCATGACACATCAATCAGTCTGCTGTGTTTAGAATAATAATTTGATCAACACTGTTGATTCTAATCACAGTCTGTTACACATCAAACAATTTTATCTTTAACCACAGCACTGCAACTCTGTACCCATTTTGATATCACGAGGTCTGCCAAGATGATTTGAATTAGTCAGGATCAGTCTTTGATTAAGGTGGACTAGCAAAATCAGCGGCGGGCGCCGCCTTCATAAGTTACATCAGATTATCTGCACTCATGAACATCACATCAATTTTGTTATTTGTCCTCTTTCACTCTTGAGATCTCCCCCTTCAATCCTGATTCTATGTCACATGATTTTCTTTTTACATGACAAGGCCTTGAACCCCAGCTCACTGAGATGACACCTGCCGCTATTCTTAGCTCCTTGCGGAGTAAAACCTGTGCGCTTGTGAACGCCTTGCGCAATGCAACAGGCACATCATTTCTTCTGCCAGTGGAACGTTCATGACACCATCTTTGTGCTCATAGTCTCAGTGCCATGACCTTGGCTTTCTACTCTCACTACAAGAAACATAACATTTTCTGGGCAGAAAATTAAATTATTTGTATACAAAAATCTGGAAAGGTCAGAAACAGAGCAAAAAACATGAAAAAATATGCATCCTGTTCCTTGGTTTGAGATCTCCAATCTGCATATTTTTCCGTATTTTTGGGGTTCATGTTGGTGAGTGTACTAACAATAAACCCTGATAATCATCAGATTACCACCTGTAACAGATGCTGGAATTTGACTGATCAGTGCTGAGAGAAAATTTTGATTACTACAAAACTCCATAACTTTGTCAGTTATGGCTCAAAACACTCAATTTTGAGTGCATTGGGAAGCTGGTACTTTCCTGAAGATAGTTCATAAATGAAGCAAATACATGGCGGGCCTGCAAACAAAGATATCCCCAATGAGATCAAATTTTGCATATCATCAAATAGAATGTCAGTCATTGGGATTACACATTTTGTGTTACAATGAAAGTTGTAGTTCAGGAATTCAGCTTTCTAATGCACCTCAAATCGAATGTTTGAGCCAGAATTGACAAAGTTATGGGGTTTTATAGTAATCAAAATTTTCTCTCAGCACTGATCAGTCAAATTCCAGCATCTGTTACAGGTGGTAATCTGATGATTATCAGGGTTTATTGTTAGTACACTCACCAACATGAACCCCAAAAATACGGAAAAATATGCAGATTGGAGATCTCAAACCAAGGAACAGGATGCATATTTTTTCATATTTTTTGCTCTGTTTCTGACCTTTCCAGATTTTTGTATACAAATAATTTAACTTTCTGCCCAGAAAATGTTATGTTTCTTGTAGTGTCTACGTTTGGGGAACAACCATACAAAACTCATTACATGTCACATTGATATACCCGTACCCTGGGTGTAAGCCAAGCCGACATGATTCCGCTGCCACACTCTGTTGGGCACCGGAATCACTCAGCTCCTTGGTTACCAATATAACTCAGACCCGCACTTAAGCCGCACACTTCCAAAAATCTGACAACAACACAATACCAGTTCACATCAATCTTCTTCCCATGCAAAAAGACTGCTTGCCTGGATGCTAACTCAGTGATCCGGTTTGCGCAAACCAAGCCAATAGGAAACTTGCCGCCTAGCCTGCTTTGTGCAATCAAGATTGGTATCTCATGTTCAGTGTTTGAATCAATGGCTGTATTAGGGGTTTTTGACTGAAGTTCTTTAAATGCTGAATGATTGTTCTGATTTGAATAGTTTATCAAGTTTTCTGTGATTGGATCCGAAGTGATTTCTTGATAATAGTTGATGACTGAAGTTGAAGTGGGATTCATTCAAAGGATTGGATTGAATTCCAAAGTTGACAATTGATCTGTTGCCTTTTTTGATAAGCTTGAAATAGACTAATATCTGAATGTGAAATGGATATAATTTTGCTGTTTACATTGAAAGCATAATAAGCTTGAGCAGACTCTCTAATTTGGCATATCAAATTCAATTTGGTACAATTTGATGGGATTTTATCCAACTCAACGCTATCCAATATGATTTTGCTTGATATGATTTCAATCAATTTCATTGGATTTTGTTTATTCCATTCAACTCCATCCAATACCATGGAATTACTTCTGAATCAAATACAAATTATTCAATGATTTCTTTTTTGATAGGTGTTTTCATTTTCATTTTCATCCAACATATCAGGATACCTTTTGCCCATGTTGTCTGAATTACTACTACATTTAATTGTTGTTACATCTACTAAATAATGAATCTGTTCAAAGGAAAGAAACAATAATTATTCAATCAACTCGGTACCAACCAAAGCAAAGAAAATCAAAAGATAAAATCACTAACCTGAGCTGTTTCCCAATCATATTCATATTTACAAGTAAACAGTTGACCTTCAAAACATCTGAAATTGATTTTGAAGGTTCAACTAACATAGGTTTTTTAAAGCAGGCGTTGATTTACAATTCCTTTTCAAGCCTTTTATCCCTCCTTTTGATACTGCAGGGGCAACAAAATCCACCATAAGATGGAACTCTGAAGAGACTGATTTAATTAACTTGACTCCTCCTAGCATTTGTTGAGAGTTGCTATTGATTTCCAATTGGTTGGGTTTGAAGTACCTAAATCAATCAGTTCAAGAAGTACAAGAGTCACCGGACACACTATCATCGCTCATTGTATCACGGGCCCTTGTCCCCCGAGGGGATTTTGACCTGAATATGTATACGTTATCAGGACAGGTGCAAGGTCGACGGAGGGCCAAAAAAATCGCAACCCACGTAGCAAAGTCCATAATAGCGCAATAGCTTGTATACTTTTTCCCAATCCCATCTAAACAGATCAATACGTCAATATAGCTTACAAACAGAAAGATGAGGCAACTACTGCACCTTGTCTGCCAATATACATCCTTGAGCTTCGTGTCCACGCATACCCATTGTGCACTAAACCATAAATAGGGTCAGCATAGCTGATCAGTAGAGATCAGTGGGATTGGACATCCTACCTCGTACATGAACTTCACACCGCTAGTTTGAGATTGGTCCGATAGCCATAGTTAGCATCGGTAAAGAAATAGCTACCCTCGGGATCAAAATGGCCTCACTCGACTTGATGAGGGCGTAGAAAGCGCAATATGAGCGGGTCAACTACCACATCAACGACTGGGATATCTTTAAACATCTTCATCAGCTCAAAGTATTGAAATAGACACAGATGATGTGAACCCAACTTGGGATTTAGTCTATTCAACCAGCCAGCATCAGGTCTTGGAAGCACTACTACTCCAGGTACGTTTGGCTTTGTGATGGATTGTTCACATCACCATTGTAACCGTCATATCAGTTTGACAAAGACAGCACTCAAATGATGCATATACGTATAATTCTTGCGTGCACTCACATCAAATCTTGGCTTGAAAGTCTTCTTAGGGAGAGAATTTCCTGTTGAATGCAACGGGGTGATGAAAGGTGAGACGGTATCTAAACGCGCTCGTGGCTTGGATCAGGATTTGGTTTTTTGCACATTCAGAACGCCAAATGACCGACCATCTTTCTTGACAATGTTGCTCCAGCCAGATTCGTCCTCGCGAGTTTGGCCAGACTCCAGAAATTCGATCTCGCCCGCATCGGCCTGTCTTTGAATTTCCAGCTGTCTACCACCAACCTTGAGCTGCACACCGGATCGGACTTCCGCCTGCAATCCAAGCATCATACTCCCAAGTGTCTTGCCTTTGACCGAGTCCTTCAAGACAGCCATGCAGCTGGATGAGGAAGGGTATAAGACCAGAAACCCGTTGTCCCCTCAAGTACTGGTTTTGCTTGAATGCATACCTTGCATGTTGCGGTAGAGACACACAAAATACAAAGGTCCAGTCTGGTCCTTCAACTCGAGTTGATCGGTATTTGTTAGGGGTTGGGCTTCAGTAAGATTGGTGTCAGACCGACACCGCTTCTTACTCGCTAGGTACGTAGAGGACACCGCTAGATATTCTGTAAGTTCGGTCTCTTGATTGTCTTCTGCCTTTGTGCTGGTCTCTGCTCAAGAAGGGGGACAGAAGGGCCAATTGACCAAAGGCTTTGTTGCAATTTTCTGCAGGTACATGCTTGCGGCGGGAGTATTCCGCGGCCGGGAGGCGGTCATCATCGGAGGTTTGAAGGTTTTTGCGGGTTTTGGGTAGGTGACGATGGCCTCTATTGGGGGCAAATAAAAAAATCATTGTGTCTTGAGCGATTTGCGACAGGGTGACTGATAAGTCATCAGAGGATGCCCACCCAGCGGTCTAGTAGGTTCTGCAGCAGTCGAGCTGAGTTCACGTTCGATTTGCTCTTGAGTCAAGACTTTGTCGATTGTTCAGCTAAAGCTATCGTAAGTTTATTGTCAAGTAAACCAATGATATATTTAGCTTCTATGTGTTGATAAGCTGTTGACACATTAGTATGAAAACAACAAAAAGGAGAAAAAATATCAGATGTGTATTCAGAAAACTCCCAAAAGAAAAGAAAGAAATGACAAACCTGAATTTCTTGAAGTAATAGCTATGGTGTTAAAATCTTGATATACACTATTAGAAGTGATAAAGACATTTGGTTTAAATGTTACTTTTTGGGAAGATGGACTATTTTTTGCCATTAAACCTATATCCCCTACTTCCTTGATATTGGATTTCACTTGAGTACATAAATGTTCTAAACATTGAACATTCAATAGCTTTGATTGAGATCGATTCACAAACTCCAACTTCAATACCATTGTAATCTGGACACATCTATAGAAAGATCAGAGTCTGGAAAGTTAGATGGCTTTTGAATTCAACCTGTTTTCAAGAAGAGATCTGAAAGACTCAACTCGATTGATACATAGATCATTGATTTCGATTGATTCATTGGGAGTTTGATCGATTGCTTTCACAAGATATTGACTTGAATATCTCAAAATTCCAAGTCGTTGGGCAGTCGCGTCGATCAACGTAGCTGTTCGGAGGGGAGAAGTGAGCGGATGTAGGTGATGGTCAAAGTCTTGGATCTAAGGTCTATTGTAGCAGAGGCAATACCAAGAGGTGATACTGTTGAGAGCAAGAAATGTATCTGTTAAAGCTATACTCGATTTAAAAGGTTGATTTCACAAAACAAAAACTGCGAGTCAGTAAGGTCATCGATTGCAAAGCAAAAGATATGACTGGTTTTTTGGTTGGCAGACATGACTGAAAGAGAAGTACAAGATGAAAGACAAACCTGTAGCAGCCTGTTGCATTTGTAAGCCATAGATATTGATGATTGACTTTGACTCGACAACAATCTAGCCACTTTCTTTGAATCAAGCTCCTGAAAGCCAAAAAAGAAGAGACTAAGACCATTTGAGCATCAAATCCTAGATTGGATATATTGAATAGTAGCACTTTGATCCAAGAGATCTACAGATACTTACTTGATCCCATCAAAAGAGCCAATTTGATGGTCAATAGTTGAAGAACATCACTTTTTAAGAAGGAGTGGTAATAAACATGAAATCCTGAGAATAATTGGTGGTGGATGAAAAACAAAAAAATCAGTTAAGATGATCAAAAGATATTGTAACGGTCCAATCAAGGTCTAGAAAAGTTGAGAGAAAAACTCAACTCGATTTCACCCCATAAACATTTAACACAAACGTTGGTAGTATTTGAAGTTTAATCACAATGAGCTAATTCAAAGGCTCAAGCTTATTTGATTTGGTTTTGCTTTGATTATTTAAAGCAGGATTAGTTGAGATACGCCAAATTGAACCCCAATTCTCATAGCCGATTTTGGTTTCAAACTGGTAATGAATAAAGGTGAATACTCATTTTTGGTTACAGAGAGAGGTCAACACTAACAGTATGTTGAGCAGAGAGTTCTTCATCGCTAATACTAAAGATATATTGTGGTAATGAACAAGATGAGTTGTTGTTGGTAGTTGTAGGTTGATTTTGAGGATGTAAGTCAAATTAATTGTGATGTTGATTTTGATCTTGATCTGTAGATGATGATGATGATGAAGTTGAGCATGAAGTAGGTGAAGTAGGTGAAGTTGAGATTGTAATTGGTTTGATGATTGTTGGTGTAGTTGTTGATGTTAGTTTAGTTGGATTAGTTTTCCTCATTTTACAAACTGATCAATTGAATAAGGTGGTGATTTGATGGGAGCTTGACAATAGTTGATGAGGTGAACACGTGAGCCACAGATTTTACTCAAAGGACGCGTAAACCTCCAACCCCAAAGTACTAATTGGGAGTTTTGTCAAGTTTTGCCGCCAAACACGGTTTACCTTTAACTTGAATGATGACACCAAGAATCACTTAAGCAATTTTTCTACAAAAGGATCACCCAAGCTGCTAAAAACACTGAAATGACAAAGTGAATTGTTTTTGAAGTCCCCTTGTTGAGAACTACACAAAAATATTCTCAGTGGACCACATTTTGTGATTCTTGTTTTGGACTTTTATACGAGTGATGAATTTTGAAGACAATTCTGATCAGCTTTTAAAATGGCAAGAGGATCCAACAGCAATGTTTCATTTTTACAAACTTTATGATTTACAAAGTTCATAAGTCTCAAGTTATTTCCATCTCTGTCCAACTTTGATTCATTCCACATCAAAGATTTCAAGTTTCACTGCGGTCATTTGCAAGGCTCTTGCTCTCATTAATCCATCCCTTTTTGATTTGGTGTGATGAGCCTTGAATTCTCCCTAAGAATTTTTTGTGCTTCATTTTCTTGCCCCTTGGATCAGACGCTGTTGATTCATTAGCATTATGAGTAATCTAGTGACTGAGGGCCAGTTGGTCAGATATTCAAATTTTCATTGCACCTAATTTTTTTCCCCTGACTCACTTGTATGTCAGACCTCTACAGCCAATTGGACTGTTACAAACATTATTGATTAGTAAAAATTATTCTGAATGTTGTTCTTGACTGACACTCAATCAGAACCATAACAAAACCAATGAGATAGCAGAAAAGCTTACTTGGTATCTGTGTGATACAATTCTATGGGATTTCTACCTCCTATTTGATCAATGCATAGTCAACATCAACATTTAGCAAATAACAATTTGGGAGTTGAGTCTGTGCATTCACCAAGACATTGGATTGCATAAATTGAAACTTAGTTGTTGATTGGCATCCAAAATGCAAAGATAGAAAACAGCCTTTGAATCAAAGGAGCTTGGTAGGGATTGCATCAATTTTTTAATGAGTGTGAGAATTCAAGTAAGTCAGAATCATGCTTATATGTATGTTGATAGATGAGTCAGTTACAAGTGAAATGCTTAATTCTTCTACTGAATTTGAGCAAGTGATGATTTCACAAAACTACGACCAATAATAAAACAATTGGAGTACTTGAAGCTAATCTACTTCTTTATTGATATTTATGTAGCTGCAGTGTTTTTTGACCCAATGATGATAAAAGCCAAATAGAGATACATTTGACTATCAGCAAAGCAAGGCCAAAATTGAGGTTTGATTTTGATTTTCTTTTTTTATCCCCTTAATTGAATTGACTTGATAGTTGATAATGATTTGATTGAGCATATTGATCAGAATTTGAGTTGATCGACTGTAAGTAAATTTGATTCAGATTTATTGAACTGATGATATAGGTGGAATTCAGAGTTAGATTGATTGTCTTAATGATTGAAAGAATGGAGATCAATCAAATTAGATGCTAAGAATGATCAAGCTTCTTGACAACTTAATATATCACATTGAAGTTAACTAATCACCAAAGAAAAAGACCAATCAGTAATCAATTGAAATTGTGGTAATGGAAGGAAATGGAACTAACTTTTCTTTTCAGTTGAATGAGTGTCCCTTAAATGAGATAAAAGGTTACTTTGACGACTATGAGATTCATTACATTTAGGACAAATAAAACCTTCAGTGATTGGAGTTTTACTGAAGTTGTGGTTAGAATTAGGATCAGTTGAGAGGAGTAAATAATTGGTTGAAGGACAGGTTGATAAGAATGGATCAAAATCTGGAATTGGTTTCAAACAAATTAAGAATCAAGATCTTCAAGACTTCTCTCAGTTGGTTGTACTGAACTTGCATTCTCAGTTTGATGATTGTTGTATTTCATTTTTTGGTTTTGAAGGTCGGACTTTGATTGACTCATTCATGAGGTTCTTTGGAAGATATTTTAATAGATTGCCTTCTTTCTTTGAAGTTCTCCAGTATGAGGGATCATTCATCAAATCAGATTGATTGAAGGATAAATGATCATAATTCGATCGGTTGTAATTGTTTTTGAGTTGGATCTAATTTTGGGTTTGTAAACAAATTAATTCAAGTTCGCAAGAAATTCATCATTGAGGTCGATTTGATGTTCATTGGGTGTACTACAGTCGATTGCAGAAAGCTTGGAAACTTTTGCCCGCCAAACTTGGGCAAATTGGCGTGGAATTCTTTCCAAGCTTTGTGAAATTGACTGTATATTGACTTTGATTATTGATTTTGATCTCATTGAACTTGATTTCATCATTAGAAACTGAGATAGCATTAGGTTCTGGTTGTGGTGATGATTGATAAGATTGATTGAATTGAGTTAAATCATATTCTTCTTGAGATGTTAAGAATGAAGAAGCGTTGGTATAACTCGGAATCAAACTTAAATCTAAATAATTATGAATTGATTGGTTTGATGAAGTGGGAAACATATCTTGAACCATTTAGAGCCAAATTTGAATTAACCTTAGCTTTGATGACTGACGGTTCTGATTGAAGATTAGTTGGGATTGAAAATTGAATTGCAATTGGCATCTTGTCTGAAACCTTTCGTGATATGTTTGAAGAAAGTACATATCTAAGTTTGCTTGGGGTTCATCTCGCTTGTGTGCTGCAACCTAGCACTTCGCTCCACTTGAAAAAAGTTGCCTCGCGCTAGAAAGCTTTGCACGATTCCTCCAGGCAGACGCTTGATCAAACTTTCTGCGCAAATCAATCCGGGAACTAATGTTTTGAAGACAATTGTAAAGATTTGATCATGAGTGAGAGAGAGGAGATATAAGGACTTACCACATCAACTCTGTTGCACTCCATATTGATAATCTGGTACATTCATGAGCTTCAATTGGATGTCATCTACAAACCGGTCACAGTTCTGATTTCTCAATCATACTACCAGTCTACTATATTTTGGATACCTTAATTGAGAAGATTGAAGAATCAAATGAATTCGAATTAAATCTAAAGGTGGAAGTAAAGACCTGTGAGCAAAAAAGGACTCATTGAGAATGTTAAAGGTAAAGTAGGACATTCATGGTTCAAGTGGTAAACCAATTGAAGAAGTGGTAGTATTAAGAGTTTGATTTGAAGAAATGAGCGACAGACCTGGAAGAATTGAAGGCTGTAAAGCATTGAAGTTTCACCAACCTCATATGACATAACCATAGCAGTAGAAGTGAATCCCCTAAAACCAGACACAAACACAACTTACAAAGAGATGTGGTAAGTCCTTTGTGTATTGATTCAGATCTGTGACGAGTGCAAAGCTGATTAGTTGAGTGAGAGTGTGGTGAGGATGGAAGACTGAAAGTATAAATGGTATTCTTGGTGGTTGTCACTCACGAGCAATTGGTTGGCTTGGAACGCAATAGGTGCGACTTATGTGCGCCCTACGTTATGGTATACATAGAGTTTAAGCCACTTTTGAGTGAGGAGGAGGGAGTTTAATCAGGTTTTGGGCGAACCGAGTTTGCTCTTAACTTGTATGATGATTCCATTTCAACTGGCACGACCATCAATGGACATAGGCGTGAAATACACTAGTCCCAAACTTAAGTCGGCCCAACTGCCGTTCCTCGTTAAACATGTCACGCTGTTACCCCAAATTGGTCAACTGAAGTATCTAAGGGTGTAGTTTTTTGATATGTTGGACACGTACCTTCTCAATCCCCTTTTCCATTGTACATCCTATATTGTACAGGAAGCCTATTTTCTGAGCTTCGGTCAGACCCAGAAACCATTCGATCAAGGCATAGGGGTAGTGAAGCCTTTGTACCACTTCTATAATCAGATCAAAATCAAACCACCACGGTGGAGTTGAGTGAACATATGAAAGATAACGGGCTTACTTCTCACCACTCTGAATTATGTTTGCAAAACGCAAAGGGTGGTCATGGCGGCATACCATTGCCATCACATCTGGCCCAGTGCCCCTTGCCCCAAACGTCATTTGGGGCAGTATGTTGTACAGCACATGCTTCAAGCTAAAGAATTTCAGAACAAGTGTTCAGCTCGAGTGCCGTGAGATGATGAATGCGGAACAGAATTGATACACCACTTACTCTGGTATCTTTGGGAAGGCCAGCCAGTCGTTGTTCCATTCGATTCACTTTGTCTTCGGGTAGGAAACTGGAGGGCAGTTTGGTGGGGTCCCTGGCTGCATTTTGACCGGCGGCGATGTGGCGTCGATGTTGGAAATTTCCATCCAGGCATACCACTACATCAGGTTCAGAATCTGTCTGACTGGGAACTGAAGGGCCAAAGCAACGTGGGCAGTTTTCGCCCAGCTTTTCTTGAGAGGAAAGGGTCAATTCAATATCAAGGGCATTCTCAGTGGCCGTTAGCATTTTGCGATAAGCGTCAATGGCCCATCAAAACGGGGTATGCCAGCGACGAGGCTTCCAAGCAAAGATTGTCAGTACCTTGCATGTTTGGGTAGGTACTGACAATCTTACCTCTTTGTTCTTGGTGAGGATCAGAGGATTAAAGGCGTCCAGGTATTCATCCAGAGCTCGGGTGAAAGGGTCCACGCGGCTGGTGCAGTACTTCCAAATGATGTGGAATAATTGCAGCAGTCGTATCGAAAAGGCCGTTTCAGGGTACTTAGGTGACCCCCCAATATACCCCATGTAGATGAGTCGGGTGTTATCGTTCTCTTCACATCGACAAAACGTTACCTCAGCTTTGCGACGATCTGAAGGATAAGGCTGGAAGTGAGTCGTTGGACACAATCAAACATGAACTGAATTTAGAAAGTACATACATAAAATGTCTACTAGATCGACTTTTCTCACTCGCTTTGCATGAGGGTGAAAATTGCACATCGGCCGGTGATCCACGTCCCACATTGAAGGATCACCGCATTCGGAGGTATGCAGGTGACATTCTATGTAGGCATAGAACATCTCCTGTGTTGCGCGTTCCAAGGCTAGAGAACGCTGCTTTCGTTCCTCTTCAATCCTTGCAAGACGGATGTCTTCGATTAATTGGGGAACCGGGAACATGGCCTCGAGTTCCGGCAGACCTATGATCTGGTCAGGATGGGTGCCGTGATCTAAAGCAGGGCCTTGATTTAGGGCAATGACGGGAACATTAGGGGTTCGTGCCTGGACCGCAGCAGCCATCCTAGCAAAATGACGCTTTTGAGTCTCGGTCTTTGGTGTACCAAGCCAGTATGGCTTCCGTGCGTTGAAGGTGGGAACAACCCCATTGAATCGTGGCATGGTCGGTAGGTATTGTTGGATGAGATGGAAGGGAAGAGAGGGTGTGGGAGGGTATGGTAAGCTTTGGAGTTGTCGTGGTTGGTTTTTCGAATGGCCTGTGTACACCTAAAATCATTGGGTCAATCCATGTATTTAGGTGTATAATTACAATGTCTTACCAACCTTTCACGCAAGGAAAGATATCACGTAGGTGAAATGCGCAGCTGAATTGAATGATCACTTCCACACCGATGTATATTTTGAAAGCATGCGACCGATGATCAAAGAGAAGAGTAATAAAAATTCCTCCGCTGCATTGTCGAAGTGTCACTTAATTTGGCAAGCAGTGGAGCTAAAGACTTTATCAAGGAGGTATTGCATTACAACAATTGCATTAGAGCGAGCATGAAACAACAAAGACCCCAAAACACCAAGAAAAGGTTCTTGCCGCATTACATTTGGCTAGTCAGAATCTGAAATCAGGTCCACAGGAGAAGGCTTGCGAGTATACAACAAAGGGTTTCGAGCCGCAAGTAAGGGTAGAATACACTTTTTGAACAAGGCAAAATCATAGCGGTACTTGTCGACCCAGTCCTTCGCCTGAGGTAGTGCTAAGTTGTGCAACTCGCGCCATGGCTCGGGTATGGGAAGTGTGGTGGAAGGTGAAGAAAGTGAAAGAGAAAGAAAGTGTACACGTTTTTGGTCAAAAAAAAGAAATATCGGTGGATTATTGTTAACGGCGCAATCAAGCGGCAAAGCAGAAAAACTATGTGCTTCGGAGTAAACACAGAATACTTGTTTGTACGTGTTTGCAATCACATACATCATTTGTGCCAAATCAAGCCATAGCTCTGGGGTGTTGAGGACCTCTTCTCGTTGAGTTTTAATTGCTTGAATATGTTGGGCAACGTCGCCATCACCGCGCATCCGTAGTTTGATATGGGTATTGTAATACTCCGACTTTGACTGCAGTTGATGAATAAGGTCTTCGTGCACCAAAAGCCATTTGTGCTCTGAACGGCCCACACTGATTGCGATTGCACGATAGCCGCAGTGTCCATTGGGTTTAGGATCACTGATCTGTTGAACATATTGCTGTAGCCAATGTGGCACACAAGTGTCCTGAAATGATTACCATGTTAGCTTACGAAGAAGATGGGGTAAGCTGTTTATGGAAAGGGACGTACACACTTTGTTGATGGTGCCTGAAAGCGCTGACCGTCGTGTCGAACGTCAAGGGCCCGGTGGCGAGGCTGTGGGAACGACCGTGTGCCGAGTGGACCGACGAATGGCGGTGGGTTCAACACCTAGCACCGAATCAGAGTCTTTTGGCCTGGCTCGCTTTTTACTGTTGGTTGTCTGCAATTGAAAGGTAGAAATGGGAGGAAAAGAAGTGTTGAAAACTTTGAGCAATGAGCGTGGATGTGAGGGTGATCACAAACAGACTTACGCAGATATTTGTGCACTGTGTCTCTAAGGATGTTAGCGCAGGGGGAGCGCTAGCAGCTGCTGCGATCTGAGTGGTATCTTTGGAAGTAGCCTGAACAGGGGGCGGAAGCAGGGCATCTAAGTTGAAGCTGTCTTCGGCTGCTTCGCCTTCTTGGTGGTCTACAAAGTCAATTGGAAGGGGGGGAGCTGAGGCTAGGTTTTCAAAAGGTCAGTTTTAATCAGTTATTAGTAAGAGATGACCTCAAATAAGCTGGACTCACAGAAAGAGCTGAGTTCAGAGGAGGAAGGATCGATGAGGGTGACGGCATTTCATTGTATGAAAGTGATGCTCCGCTTTGAGGGGTTTCAGGTTTCACTTCATCGAGTCCACTGGATGGCTGTAGTAATGTATACAGTTAGTATGTAGTGCATTGAATGAACGTGAGCTGTTTGTTGTTGATACGCACCCACGGGTCCTCTGAATCGTAATCGACAAGGCCTTTGGTATCATGGATATTGGTACATTGATTTTGGGCTGGATCGGACGCCGCAGAAACAGGAGAGTGCTGGTCGCTGGTTTTGGTAGGTAGGGGGGATAATAGATGTGGAGGTGAAAACGGAGCGGGAGCGGGAGGAGGAGGAGGAGGTGAACCTGAAGCGGTAAAAATTGGAAACAGATAGCTATCTGGAGGTGGCGACGCCTTTTTGATACTTTTCTGTTTCTTCTTCTTAGGATGGGAAGGTACCATTTGCTGGATTCATGACCTTAAGTTAGATAGCTGATCGGTAGAAGGTGAGAGATATAAACTTACTGGAGGATTGTCTGATTGAAAGCCTGGAAAGTGGGTGGTACGAGGCCGGAAGTAGTTGTTTGATACTTGAGAAGTACATTTTGAATTTCATCAAGGGCTTGCGTGCGTTCGGTGGCCGAAAGCTGAGATAGCTGGGTTGAAATCTACATGCGACAAGATGAGGCTAAACGTCGTCATTAAGTGAAAGTGAGTGTATATCGTACTGACCATGTTGGATCACTGCTTGACAGCCTTCAGGCTCTCAAAGCGAGGAACTGTGGGGATTGGAACACGTACATGGCCATTTGGCTTAAGAGGGGTAAAAGGGCAAGAACATGAGTCAGCTAAGTTGAAAGATTAATAAGATTGTTGAGGAACGTACTTGTGGGCCAGCAATGGGTCCGTGGTTATGACCACCGTGTTTGATTACAATCTGCCAGGTACCTACTGGGGGGAGGCCACTTGCCGGATCGTGAACTAGCTTGCGGAGTTCAGGAGGTACGTTTGGAGCAAGAACTTCTTGGGTCTTGACTGAGAAAGGGCAGTCGGTCTTTTGGGAAGTGGAATGTTCCAAAGGCTTGGGCCCTGACCGATGACATGCGTAGCGGACGTGGTTGGGCTCGGATGATCAAATGGCTACCTTGTAACCGTTTGCTTCTGCATGTTGGGTGAGTAGTTTGTGTATGTCGTCCCTGCTGGATGCCGTAAGATCGAGTGGTGGGGGAGGTAGGCTAGGAGCATGTGATGAAGGTGGTGATGGAGCAGTCATCGCAAGTTTGCAAGTGACAAGGTGGGAAACAGGTGGTGAGGGTACAGATGGGAGGACGAAGTGATTTTGGATGAAGGAGATGGCTTGGGTGTGGTTTTGAATGGTGGTGGGGTTAAGGTGGGTGATGAATGTGGCGATAAAAGCGAAAGTCACATGGTATCACGTAAACTTCGGCCGGGTAAAGCCACAAACAAAGGCAAGGTGGGTGAGTGCGGGTGAGGGGTTAGGGTGGGTCAAGTTGCGAGTCGGGTGGATAGGTAAAGTAATGTGGAGTCGGTGAAGGTGGGTGAAGGGTGACCGGGTAGGTAGGGATGGGCAAGTGGGAAAGGTGAGATCGTTTTGGACGGGTGGACTTACACGTACAATTCATGTTGAACTGGTGTGTGTACAGAGGCAGGTGGGTGTGGAATTTGGTGAATGCGAGTATGATTAGTTGTATGTGTTGAGGAATCAAGCCTGGTGGGTGTGGTTGGTGATAGTAGGGTGGTGGAATTTGAGTTGAGCTGGGTGTACACAGCTTGGTGTGTGAGCAACTGGGGGGTCTCCCTTAAGAAAATCTTGTACTTATCCATTTGGAGGGTACCCCAAGAGGCTACTCAAGATGCTGGATCATCTTGGCTGGTGAACCCCGGATCCCATTGGGCCATAGCAACGACTGTATGGCCCTATACCATAGGGTAAGTACCTAGGTGCTCAGGTGGATATCTTGGATAAGCACCAACTATGGCTTAAACCTGAGAAGTGCAAATTCTCAAAATCGGAGGTCGATTACTTGGGACTAGTTATATCCCGCAACAAAATCAAGATGGATCCCTTGAAAGTACAAGCAGTACTAGCCTTTTGGGCGGCGGGCGCCGCTCTGTCATTTCCCATTCCCACCGGGGCTTTCAAGTATGCTCAAAGCTATAGAAAGCTACAAAATCACTATGTTGGTGGAAGCACCACTTCATTGATGAACATATCCTCCATAACTAACAAATCCCTTCAGATTGGTGAATATGTATTTCCTTCATTTTCACAATCAAGTGTGTCCTGGTTTTGAATCTTTAAAAAGCCTACAATTGCTGGATTGACAATGAGCACTGTTGAATTTTGTAAGCAAAGTGGGTCCAATATGTGTCTAGATGTTATGATAACACAAAAAGTAATTACCTTTGATTTAGTCACATCTCCCAATTTTTAATCATTTTATTTGATCAAATCCACTGCTTTGATGATTGAATGGTGAACCATGCTAGTCTAATCACATTCAAAGGAGAAAACTACACTACATGTCAGGATCATGAAGGAAAAATGAATAAGAAAATTGCTTTCCAGTATATCAAACTTGTCCACATACCAACTTATGAGTGTCTCAATTTCTTGATATAATTGACTTACTTCAATTGATTGAATGAACCTTATATTTGTTGGACTATGTCTTGAGAGTGAGTGAAAGAAAAATTTAGTTTAAAGTGTTAGAGCATGGATTCACTTGAGATTAAAGCTGTTCCACCCTTTAGGTTTTAACAATTGTTTGATTACCTGATCATTGACTCACAATGTGATGCATTAATTGACCTTCTGTGTGTATAATTTTGATCTAGATTTGATTGATGTTCAAAAATCTCAAGTTAAAGTTGATAGATATAAGAGGTTGGCTTCATTCTAGTTTCAGGATTCTGTATAAAAGCAACATATTTGATCAAAACCTACCTTACAATACTGTTTGGAAGATGTCTCTCATCTGATATCCTTGGGCTTGAACTTTCAGAACTACAAACAAAATGTGATAAATTAAACAGAATGATGATTGTTGTCACCCAAAGTGTATATGTGAAGGTTTGAAATATTATTTTGAGGATACATGATGACTTGCTTTTGTTTGATCACAGTGGCAAGTACTGGTTTGGTGTTTTAGGCTGTGATTAGGTGAAGATAATCACATGATCCTTTGAAAGTGAAAATATCATTTGTGAAGGGAGTTGACCCACATCTTTTTTTTCAATTTGGGTCAATGAGACTGGTCATTTTCAAGTAGGATCAAATTTCAGTTATCCTGGGAACTGCAAGGATATCAGGAGTCTCAACATGCAGACCATCTACAATGTTACCTCTTGCATCTCAAGCTCCATATGACACATCAATGACTGAATGACTGTCGTCAATGTGCTTGATGTAATTTGTGAGTTCCTACTCTGATTTAGGTCTTGTTTGTACTTGACATTGGTCTGGGCATGCTGTTTGGTGTCCTGATCAGCCAAGTTGCTGCCTTTCCATTCAAGAAAATTGTATCTACTTGGTTGGATCACAAAGAACTGTTTATTCTGCCACTCAGAGATGAATATCTAAGACCACATGACTCATGAATAATGTTGTAAAATCTAAGCTCCAAATGACTCTATTGCTTTCCCTTGTTTAAGTCTATGGATAGAAGAGAGAGAGAAGAAGAAAAAAAAACAGACAGATACACACAAAGAAAAGAAAGGTTTTTACACACCAACAGCAAAACAAACGTGATTGTGAAAGAGAGACACACATACCCACAAATAATCAAAACATTTCAAAGTAACAAAATAAAATTGAAGATAAAATAAACTTAGAATTATTAATTATATGACCAACTTAACAATCAGGAAAGAATATGAGATGGTCCTCCTCAGAAGAAGGAAATAAATATTAACAATCCAGAAACAAAAAAATCACACCATAAGGCTTAAATGAAACAAAGAAAAGGAAACAAACTAATTATCCTCAAGACTTATTGAGAGCAAAGAGATAGAGATATATAGATGGAGAGATAGAACAACAAAGAATGGTACCCATATTTAGAACTGGAACACAACAAAAGAGGGATAAATGATAACTCAGAGAGAGAGACAGATTTGGCAATTTTTCTTGAGAAAATAGCAAAAGAGACAAAAAAACCAAAGTTCAAACAAGGTTCTGTCATTGATGCAATTTTTAAGCTCCAGCTGTCTTTGGTCTAGATGATATGTACAATGACTACAAGGGATACCCAATGCATGATGCCCAGATACATGTGTTCTATTGTTAAGTAAACGAGGATGTTGTTGGAAATGATCAGGAGAAGGTGTAGGAGAAGGGATGATTTGATTTGGATCAGGACTTATTCCATGTAATGATACACCTTCAGCCAATGCTCTATGTCTGAAGGTATCTTGATCACCTGCTTGATATGGTGGATTATGAGGTAGATTTGGTACATGTCAGGAATGGGTTTGAATTCTTTGGACTTTAGTATTACGATTTTGGCTGGATGACTGACGTTGTTGTTTTGTCACAGATTTTATTGGTTTTCATGACGCTGAACTGTCTTCATCTGGTTCAGATGCTGAATCGTACTCAACCTCCAAGTCTGACTCTTCTTCAAACGCCACCTTGTCTCCTGATTATTAAACTGTAACAAATATCAGTGAGTTGTGCAGGTGATGGGAGCCTTGAGAGCTGAAAGACAAACTTTCAGACGCAGCCGTAGTGAACTTAAAAGATACTACAAGCACTACTCATCGAATTGCGACTCGTACACTTGTTTTTAATGGGCGCATCAGTAGTCGATGGAAGTAAGGGATGCTCGGTAGTTCCGGGAAGGCGTATAGGTGCTTGGTTATCACCCTTGATATCAAAGACTCTAAACATCACAACAATCAAAAAGGCTTTTTTTAAAAAATCTCACAAAATCATTAGTGAAGGTCAACAGATTGACTCGCAAGTCACACCGTGGGTAATGTTCGGTCGCATTCCGTGATCCGACAGGCTGACGAAACACAGGATGTGTATCGGGCCGGTCCGCGACATACAGGATCTTGACAGCGACTGTTACTCATGTACAGCGACTGACACCCTTGGATGCGACCGCGGCGACGTATTTGCTCTGACCTGCAACACTTCATCATCACGTCAATCTACCACCATCCAACTTCACCCTCTACGTATTCCTGTTCCCATCTTGCCCTTGTTTCGACTCAACACAGCTCAACACCCTGTCAACAACTTTATCCTACCATCGCCCCAAACCTACCCTCTTCCTACCTCAGACCTTTCGATTGCGAAAGCGGACAAGGCTCACCTTTTCGGAAAGTGCTTTCTTTGTTCTCAGGGGTTACTCTACCATGAATATCTGCTTCGAAGTCAGTTTCCCAGTACAATCATCTTTTGATGTTCCAGATGTTTGGCGGGTCCAAGACAGCCAAAGGGTCTACTCACCCAATGAGCATAGGTGACGTAGCTTTCACCTCTCTGCCTGATGTTATTGTTTTCTATATAAGCGACTGATGATTGTTCCGCCTTCTATGTTTCCTCTCCTCATTGTTATATTTAATTCAACAAAACATCTGTGCTCTTAACCTTTCATAACAATCAACGTAACCATACAAACATCCTTTCAAAACCCATCTAAAACCTCTTTCAATCTTCGCTTTATCACCCCTGCTACTCTCATCGCAATGGATACTCAAATGATCGTTCCCAGAGATGGCTCTGCCGCCTCAGAAGCCACCAACACCCTTGGTCCACCTCCCAGCAATACTAGCGAGATGTCCAAGATGATTTCCGACGTTTTAAAGCAACAAGCGTCTCAATTTGAGACCATCATTGGAGATCTTCGGACTCAAATAACTCAGCTCAGCATGGAAAAGCAGCCCTCGAACCCCAACGACCCCAGCAATGATTCATACAAGACTCCGCCCTCCAAAGGCAAGTTTACCTCTATCAAACTAGCTTCTACGTCAGCACGCAAGAGTCCAAAGGTCCTCAATAGTGCGACATCGTCAAAGATCTCGAACTCCCCCAAGATCTCGAACTCTCCCAAGACAGCCAGCGGTAAAAAGCCACGGGACAGCAGTGGTACGCCAAACACTCACTCGATGCCAAAGGGCAAAAAGCCTATCCGCAAGCGTCACCCGTTGCAATTGTTAGTGGACGACGTCCCCGCTGATTTTAAATCAATGAAAGTACGTATTCCTTTGCAAATCAGCTGACTGTATACTGACCACTGACTATTTTGCTCTTTGACTAACTTTAGGAAGCTCTTTTTGTTCATGTCAAGATGATGTGGGGTCTTTACAAAGCCAACGACGTACCAATGACACCCGGGGCTCCCCTTCTAGTCGAATTCTACAAGCGCTTTTCATCAAGCGAAGAGATTGAACAGGTGATCGCAGACCCAGCTAGCGGGGATGTTGTTGCTCGTGAAACGATCATGTCCATGAAGGAGTTTTGTGCTGGTGGTGGCAGAATTGCCCGGGGTTTAAGTCACATCGATCAGATGTCTATTCTTTACATCCATGGTATCCTTGCAAAAGTGGGTATCCGTGTGTGGGGCCCAGACCTCAATGAGGCCCCTGACAGTCTCTATAACTCAGCTTGTCGAATCACTGCTCTCAACACTTTCCGCCAACTGTTGGCTTCCGGCACATACAACTACATGAACGTCAAGCTCAAGTACACCGATTCAATCTCACTCATGATAAATGTCTATAATCATTATGTACATTACTTGATGGCCGCCAAATACCAAACTGAACTGAACAACGTAGGAGCCATTGCGGAACAGAACAGTAAGAAGAATGTTCAAAAGCGCAGGGAGAGAGTAAGTTGTTCTGTAGTTCTTTGAATTCGTAACCATCACACTGACATGGGACATGCTGGTTGTTACAGCTTCGTAAAGAGAGAGTGGCTTATTTAGCGAGACATCCCTCAAAGTACCCTCCTCGCTATACAACTGTCGTTTCTGAAACTCTTGCTCACAGTGACGACGAATGGGACCCAATCAAAAAGGTCTGCATCATCAAGACTTCGGATTATCGTTTGAAAAAAGCCAACAAGTTCATTTGAATGCTTGATGTCGCGAGGCAGCAAGAAGCTGAACAAAGCAGAATACCGGCCTCTCCCCACAAGCGTGTCCGCAAACTACCGCGAGTACCTGTTCCTTCAAAATTCAAGAGAGCTCCTAAATATCTGCCACTCGACTTCTACGATCCTGAATGGTTCAACGCACTTCCTCCTGGTCAAAAGATCCTCACTGCCAACGCTTCTCAAGTCGCTTTTCTACCTGACGCTTCCCAATCTTTCTCACCCAACCGTCACCCGGACGAAACGATTGGTGATGCCCGGTTCAACTCCAAGTATCTTGATGCTTTGAAGACGCCATATGAGATGTCTGATAGTGAAGATGATCACGATGATGACGAGCCCAAATCAGATGGAGATGAAATTATCAATGATGCTGACAGTCAAAATGAAGCTGGTGATCAAGACGAGGAATCAGAAGGCGAGTTTTATGATGAAGGCAATTTTGGAGACTTGTATGAAGACTCAGTGGAGGGTAGTGAGGCTGTGGAAAGTGAGAATGAAGGTAGCGATGTGATGGAAGTCTGAGTGAATTTGATTTTGGTTGGATGTGGTATCTTTTTGTTATTGTTCTCTCTTAGCCGTCTTCCTCAAATTTTCTCTCTTAGCCGTCTTCCTCAAATTTTCTCTCTTAGCCGTCTTCCTCAATTTTTCTGTCTTGTCGTTTCTGTTTCAACACACTCATTTAGGCCCTTTACATGTTTGGCTCCGTCTGTTTGTCTCTCAGTTAACTTCCTTCGGCTCATCGTGCCGCCCTCTTGGTCCTCATTTTACTCGATTTCTGTTTTTATTCAAGACACTCGTTTAGGCCCTGTGATTTGATTGCTTTGTTGTGTATTTGTGTGTGGTGACTCATGCTACTGTTTACACTCGTTTACCTGTGATGCCCTGTGTTTGTCTGGTGGTTTTTTCTTGTTATGTTGTAGCTGAGAGCTCCTTGAATCAGTTGGAACACGTAATAAGATTTTTGAACCTTTTGAACTTGAAAGAAATCAACATGTCTCACATGTTCCAAAAGAGTCCGTCAATGAAAAGCTGTAACCTAAAAGGTTGTGCTCACATGCGCCAAAGGCAAAGGCCAAAAAAAACTGGAAACAAAGTAGATAGATTTCTTTGAGAAAAAAGATTACAAATCCAACACTTATACAAAATTTAGATTGCACATATATTACAAAAAAGCCTACAATATGGCCAACATCGACGAATAGTCATGCGGCCGCAGTATGATTCCCCCTTTCTCAATACCAAGATGATTGGAATCCAACAGACGATAAGCTGCAACACTTACACTACACCAAATGTAATCTTTACCGGGCAGTAAAGAAAACTACTGACATAGAAAAGTCCTGAGGCAACAGGAAGAGAGCTAAAAATCTGAGAAAATATGCACCTTGTTCGTAGATGTTGGGGCGTCATGATGAGTATTTTTTTGTATTCTTCACGCAGATATTGGTTGATGTACTAACAATAAACGCTGAAAATCCTCAAAAACTCACATGTAACAATACCTGAAATTTGGGTCATGAGTATGAAGACAATATTTTGTGGTCTAAAAACTTCAATAACTTTTGCAATTCTGCTCCAAATAACTCGATTTTTGGTTCATTCAAAAGCTGAACTATTCTCCTTCACACTTCATAATGTTAGTAAGGTGCTATCTAGTCATTTAAACACTCTACATACGTTCAAACAGTTCTGCATGAATAGCACTGTAGGATCTTTTTTAGACCAGCTACAGATGTTATGTCTCAATGAAAAATGTAGAGGAAGGGCTCACCTTTTTAATGCACTTCAAATCGAGTGATTTGATTCAGAACTGCAAAAGTTATTGATGTTTGAAGATTCCAAAATCCTGTCTTCAAATTCAAAGGCCAAATTTCAGGTATTGTTACAGGTGGGTTTTTGATGATTTTCAGCCTTTATTGTTAGTACATTTACGGTACTCAAAGCAACTATGTACGCGTACATAGTTGCCGTACATAGTTTTTTTTTGGCGGGCGAAATACTTCGAATATACTTCTTTTGTTTTTTTCCCCGCCAAAAAAAACTATGTACGCAAACTATGTACGCGTACATATGTAGCTTTGAGTACCGCAATTAACCAATATCTGTGTGTAAAATACAAAAAAATACTTGTCATGATGCCCCAACATCTAGGAACAAGGTGCATATTTTTCAGATTTTTAGCTCTCTTCCTGTTGCCTCAGGACTTTTCTATGTCAGTAGTTTTCTTTACCGCCCGGTAAAGATGACATTTTGTGTAGTGTTACAACAGCCTCGGGCGCAACATAAACAAATCCATCTTCCACTCTTCCCAGTACAGCCTTCAGTAGAAACAAGATGTAACGAAAGAACGCCGTGTCACTTTCCAAATCTTTGGGAAACAAGTTCTCAATGGGGTTAACTATGAACCGTGTTTGCCACCTATCTTCTGGGTACTTGACTTCGTAAATCTGTCGCACAAGGCCATACCTGGTCTTACCATTGACTTTGTATTGAATACAATTGTTCGGTTTCACAACTGACACTGAAACATGTTCACTAATTTGCCAAGTAGATCTCGGAACCGCAAATGGATGCAAAACGATGGATTTGGGGGGATGAGGTAGATTTCGGTAGTCTCGTAGTCCTTCGTTTTGTTTGCAAAAATGGGCTAGCAAAGCCTCATACTCTTCTGTTTCAAGCTCAATTCGATATCGGCTAGCGTTCGGGTCTTTCTTTTTCTTGATGTCATTTAAATGCATGATATCTTCTACGACCTCGTGATCCCCTACCAGCCTTTGCCACTGGCTAAAACGTGTCATCATTGTTCCGTCCATTTGAGCTACAAGAAAATCACATAAGCTCAGATGTGAACAGCAGATATACAACCTCACACTCTTACTTACCGAGTGTTGTGTTTGTTGGAATTTTTTGCAATACCCCAATTAATCTTTCTCCCGCATACTCAGCCACCGAATGAAGAGGCCCCCAATACCTCATTTGATCTGGGATATGCATTGCGTAATGATGGTTTGGCTTGACAGACGCATTATTGAATATCGCTTTCGAGGTTTCGTTGTATTTCTTATAAAAGATTGCAAAAGACTTTGCTTCAAATTCAGAGACCTTCTTTGCCCTCACGAAACTTGTACATTGACATAAAGCGCCTATGTTGAGTAATATCGCGCCGCGGTTTGACTTTTCTTCCAATTTTTCGGGTTGAGTGATGTAGATATCGAGGATGAGAAGGGGAATTATGTATGCAAAAAGACTATGCCATTGTGAAGCCTTTAACGTCCCATGGTTTGATTCACCCAAATTTTTTGGCAGCCTGGTGACCCCATTTGGAAGAACCACGTCTTGCATCCGCTTTTGAAACAGCTTGATGTCGGCTTTTGAGAACAGCCCACCATCCCATCCGGCCGATAGCTCAGCATCCAGTTCGGGGTCTTCTTCATCTTCAGATTCTTCCATTTCAACATCATCTTCAACCGCATTACCCCCACCTTCTTCGTAGATGATCCTCATTTGTCTTGCTGGAGGGAGGTCTGTTGTATTACTGTCCGTTCTTTTTCGCTTGAAACCTCGAGACACTTCTGTTAAATCACTGTCTCGCCGTTTACGCTTCATGCTCGCCTTTTGCTCGGCAGTATACAGAACAAAACCCCAACGAAACCGAAAATGATTTTGAAGCACACCTTCATACCAATTGTGCATTATACCAATAGGCAGGTGAGACACCGGATTCCGATAAGCTAGGCAATTGAATACTGACCAACGTACACCAGTTTCTTTCAGTATCTTGTCCTTTTCGCTGATGGTTATTGCCTGTTTTGAGCGCATTGAGGCCGCCAGGACCTGTTCCTTTGTTCGAAGTAATCCAATTTGCAGTCGATCTTCGGTTGATTTGCCCCAGCACCATGAGCAGTACAAGGTGGCGGAATGAGAGGCATATCCGGCTACCTTGTGCATGCCCACCATATCACCTAACAGTGGGAGTAGTTTCACTCGCACCAGACGACCACCTGGGAATTGATGGGTCGGGATAATGATTCCGTCTTCAAGGAGTATTAAGTCTTTGACTAGACCTTCAAGCACGTGATGAACAGTAGTCATATCGGGAGAGTTAGGACCGGGCGTGATACCAGCAACACACGTGTTTTGTAAGAGATTTCGAATATCAGGAGGGAGATCGAGGCAATTCAGTGCCAATACACCAAACGACTGCTGGGCTCCACGTCGCTTGTTTCCACGGGGATTGAACCAATCGATGAAACAAGAGAATGTGAGGTTCAAGGGCTTGGGCCCAGCTGGAGGCGAAGGTGGCCATTTTATATCCTTCCAAGCTTCAGATTGTTGAATATCGTAAATTTTTTTCTCAGTTGATTTTGCCACCTCATTAGACCAATTATCAATTTCCTGCTCAACTATAGACCTACTCAGAAACCACTGCAGCCACTTTGATAATTTCTGAGTCACATAAAGGTTTCGCGGACGCCCGATTTTGGATAGTTGAAAGTTATCTCCAGCAGGTGAGTCTGCTCGAGATTTTCCCTTGTCGCAAAGACCTCGGTAGACTGACTTCTTCTCAAAAAGCTCCTCGCCGCATGGTTTTGCTTTGGGGGATTCTTGAACAGGCAGATGTTTGGTGCGTCGTGTATTCATAGAGACTAAAGCAAGTCGGACAGCAAATCTTTGTGTCTAATTCGGGACTTATTGTTAGGCCGGCAATCGTAGTACGGATATCCTTTGGGAGTCGATGATGATCGATATCGTCAAGTAGGGGATGGTTCCGAGCAATCTCCAAGATTTGGAGTATGAATTCACGTGCCATTTGACACTTGATGCGGCTGAGCCCGCAGAATAAGTGGAGCCAGGTTAAAAATATACCAACAAGGGTGATCACTGGGGAGTAAAAGGCAAGGTCAGGTTCATGTCATGATCATGAGATGTTGTTGCATAAGTTAAAACAATCACTCACGAGTCAGTGCTGAGTTAGTCCCATCTACTTGTGCCTGCTCAAAGGCTGAGTCCATTGCCGCGGCTTCCAAGTCCATATTGTTGACGACATCTGGTTCTGGTAAGTCTTTGCTGGTTGAGTTATATTGCTCGGTTTGAACATCAATCAGGTGATGTTTGAGCTGAATTTTTCGAGTGACAAATTGGCCTTGAACCTGGGTACCGGTATCGTTGGTACACTGCTTTGTGGCACAACTTGAGCATGTACAGATCGGCATTGTATTCGTGACTGGATGAGGTGCGAGATAGCGGAGTAGTTAGGAATGCGGATTTGTGGAATACGTAGAGGGTGAAGTTGGATGGTGGTAGATTGACGTGATGATGAAGTGTTGCAGGTCAGAGCAAATACGTCGCCGCGGTCGCATCCAAGGGTGTCAGTCGCTGTACATGAGTAACAGTCGCTGTCAAGATCATGTATGTTGCGGACCGGTGTAGAACTTATAACCCAACAAGGGTTATACAGAGCTGGAAGAGGATAATCTACTAATAAAATGACTAGTAGAAGTTGTCTAAGGACTGCTCTTCTAAAACAACACAATCAGAAAGAGCTCTGTTGTATTGAGTACTGATAAGGCACCAGAGAAATATAACTTCACACGTAATTTTAACTTCAAAAGCACACTTTGTATTACTATCAACACTGCTATAGTGTTATTCCCAATTGATAACTGAAAAAAAATAAGCAATATCTGATTGATATTATTCCCAATAAGTCTTTATGACTATAAAACTAAAGTAAATTTCTCTTTATAACTGTAATAAAGGGCGTATTTAAGTGAACAGGTACTATTAAAATAAGTTTATGATGATAAACAAAATAATAATGGCGTAAATGATAAAGAAAAAAAGGGGAACAACAGTCCCAAAACCCTCTCAAAGTATATATAACAATGTACTAGAACTTTTACAATGGTCAACAGCCTCAAAACCAATCAAATCCGCCCAAAATTCCCTAAAAACCCTATGATGACGCAATGTAATGGTTTTGTTACTAATAAATGATGTAATTTTCACAGCTAAAAGTGATCAATGACGCAATAATATGATGTACAGCACTTCTTATGATGAATACAGGTGATTCTTTCCTTGTAAACTAGCTGAAAACCAATTTTTGAGATTACGAATTTTTTCAGATGTGCTCCAATTTTTGATTACTAAAGTGCATCTTGTAGCCCACGTGTTACTGATCATTTCTGAAACCCACATGACCTACTTCTGATGAGTGATGAGTAAGATATTGAGTTGTGAAGTTAAGGTTTTTAGTGTTACATATGACTTGTGACTGTAAATTCGAGATTCACACCAATTCTTTATTTGCCTTATAACTTTTTACACACACCTCCGTTACTAATGATTTAAAGTTTGTACATTATGTAATCCACTCTTCTGCGTTGAATGAGCCATCTACCAACCTATTCTGACGTCATTTGACATATGTAATTAGCTGAAAACCTCCATTTTCCACGAATTTCACCCATTTTCTTCACTTTTCACAGCTACTAGTATCTTTTTCTTGCTCATGTAATATGACATCATCATCTATAGCCTTAAAAATCCCGGAAAATCCTCTTGGCAACCTTAAATTCCATCACTACCACTATTACACAACCAAACTACACGTGTACCTCTTGTTTACCAACTTGGAAAAAGTGCTTTTTTCCTAATAACTTCTGTTTCTACTTATCAACCTTGAAGATTAAAATTGTCATAGTATCATATAATGTTGTTCTTTCATATTCTAACCTCATAATACCCATAACTTTATTTTTACTAACCTAAAAACCATTTTCCAACCTTTATACCTATAATTTCGAATTTTTCTTATGTTTTTCTTTCTTTCTTTTTGTAATAAATTTGTAAGTAAACTATAATGATCTTAATATATAATGTGAAATAAAATGATGTAATGTTGACCTAATGACCAATACATAAGCCTACAAGAGCTTCAATTGATCAAAAACCTCCATTTCGAATTTTCTTTCCTGCTGAATCCTGCTAATAAACTGGTAAACTGGTAATTGTGAATTTTTTAATTGATCCCATAAATTGATCACCACACCGGCCCGATACACATCCTGTGTTTCGTCAGCCTGTTGGATCACGGAATGCGACCGAACATTACCCACGGTGTCAGACTCCTATAAGAGTAATGCAAACAGCGGTGCAGGCATGCCCAAAGTAGGCCTAAAGATGATTCCTACATTACATGACTTTGTCATCTTGGATGAGATGAATCAAGTGCGCAGATAGAAATCGAAGCAAGGCGCAGACCATTGAGAGTAACTCAACGCACAAACGACCAGCTTTGTTTACTTTGTCGCTTCTCTGGGTTAAATCTAAAAGGATTGACAGACAGTATGAGATCTCAAGAGTCAATTAAGTCTGTAGCGCAAAACTAAAGCAGGAAATGAAACTCACCAATAACTTTGGTGAATTCATGATCAAGGGGACCCTAGTATGAATCAGAGAATCCAAATTTCTCAAGAAATGTTTCAATGATCCTGCTACAGCATGTACATCATGGAAGTCAGTCTTGGAAGATTTGATTAAATTGTAATCTCCTTGTGTATTGAAGCGCTCTTTGAATACCCTGATGTGAACTAAACTACAACCGAGCCTGTAAATGCCTTCTTCCTCGTTCGCTCCCTTTGTCTCTAGAATTTTAGCACACCGGAATAATAACACAGGGCGAGGTTCTGGTGAAAGGACAACTCTGATTGGATCCGACAGAGTTATGCAGCTCTTGTGTGTCTTTTTGTTCTGACTTTAATGAGATCGTTGGAAGGGATAAAATATGATCAGCACGTCTGAATCGGGGCCAAGATGTTATTGTTTTGGTAGAGTTGGTGGGCAAGAGTTGAGTCGGGGGTTCAATACCGGTCAAGGTGTTGTAGGTCAAGGACAATTTGATGGATGTCGATAAGTGGAATGACACGAATCTAAAATGAGAGGACGTCACAGAACAATGACCATCATAATTAACAATTCTTTGATGTCTGTTCCACGCTAGCAATAGATATATCAGCGGTCAAGGTGTGCTCTTCAATAACCGTAGGATGTGTGCCAAGACAAATCACCCCGTGAGATGCCGAAGACATATGATCCATAGACTCGAGTTTTGAATGAGAATGTGTTTGACAGGCTGGGGCGTCCGGATGATGATGAGTTGAAGAAGAAGAGTGATGATGCGAGTTGTGTCGATGTGAGCCAGTATCGGTCTTCAGTCCGACTCCCACCCAGTCTATGTAGAGAACAGCAAGTATATAAGTTGTGAAGAACAGACTGGTCAGTCCTGATCATGGCATAATCGATTCGCTCTAAAGATATATGTATACACTTCAAATTCCAATGTGAGTTACCCAATGTTTTACTGAGATGGTTGATGTTGGCTTGAGTCAAATTAGGTTGTTTGTTTCAAAAGACAATCAAAATCAAAAGTTTAACAATCAGTTTAGCAAGAAACAGTGGGAGCATGAGCAAAATAAGAAAAGGACACCTTTATAATGAATCCATCAGTCAAATCGATGAGCTCAAGAAGAAGGGCTGAAGGGTCTTTATTAAAACTGAGACCATTCTCCTAAGGCAGTGATGTGAAAGGTATTGGTCATCAATTTTTGAAACAAAAGCCGGAAGAAAGCTTGTGAGAATGAAAGACATACCTTTGAGTAAACCATAAGGCTAACCTATGAGGCCAGTGGGATGGTATCTTACGTAGTGTTGTTGCACCTGTGTTCTTGTATGCTTTCTCCTAGGTTGAAATAACAGGAGCAACATGAAGTGAAAGAAAATGTTGTGGTTTCTAATTTGGGCCTTTAAGTCCTACAGCAGGGAGGTGGGTCTTGTTCAGGCTGACTGTTGAATAACAATGATGATGATCTTATCAATTGTCTACTTCTGGATGATCCTAAGGATGATGGGGAGTTGGTACAGGTAGATGGAGTTTGACACGGTCTATAGTGTGATTCACAGTGGTATGTTCATTGTTTCGGAGTGAGGTGGGTCAGAACAACACAGCGGGTAGATTATAGGAATGAATCATGATGGTGGATGCAAATTGATTCACATTGATTGATTTCTGCCTGTGTGCAAAACTCAAAAAACACGCTAATGGTGAATTTTGTCCAGTTTTGTAAGCGAAGTGCCTTTGGGATTAAATGTTACTAGCCCCATCAGCGGCGGGCGCCGCATAATTGAATCACATCTGTTCAATTCAGCAATTTGACATCACTTTCTTGTGAGCGTTTATTTGAGCCCCCACCCACCCTGGAAGCTTTCCATGTGAGCTTTTGGATAACCCACGGGCACACACACACATCACACATTCAACTTCTTATGATATATTAACCAGCCAATTACATAATCATAGCTCACAGCTTAACAAAAGAGTTTTGACACACAAAGCAGAAGACACTTAAAACATATTACTGCAAACCCTAACCCTGAAACCATGTTCTCATGAAGAACCACAATAACATGTTCATGCCAGGTTAGGCAATGAAGAATAACTGTGGAGAGTCTTCTGTGTATTCTTACTTGACCAGAATACATTTGAGACTTGTATCTATGTGTTTCTGTTTAATACTGCTATCTTCTTTGTCTTCAACTCAGGTATAATATATGTATGAAACTTTTCTGATTGAAAGACCAAAAAGAAACCTAACATGAGAACAACTCAAAAAGTTGACCAGCTCTTCCACACTTTACACAAGAAAAACCCCAATGATCATACAAAGGAACCAATCTTTTTTTCGATTATCTCCAACACTCAGAGCTTCTTGTTTAAGCAGCACAAACTTCATAATTACTCATCCCATTCCCATCAATCCCCTGGGAATGAAAAGAGATGGAAATTTCCCGTCTCTTTTTTCATGATCATGATCTTTGATTTTTTCTTCATTATAACAAACTTCACAGACTTGAATAATATTCCATTTCTTTTCACTTTGATAATTTAAACTATTTTCTAAAGACAAATCTTTTGTGGAAGCATCAAATAATCTTTCCCAACTGCTTTTGAAAACCTTTGAGTTTTCTTTTAGAACATTGAAATTTAGTTCTTGACCTCTCCATCCAAAGTAGTGGATCTAATCCCAATCCAAGATAGTTTCATTCAAAATCCACTCAAATAATTCTTCATGGCTGACTTTCATGTATGATTTTTGTTTTCTTTCATGGATTGATGCCCATATCAATTCAATTGAATGAGTCCATATTGTTCTTGTTTTAATCACTACAGGCAACGGTGGCACGGCTAAGCTAAGTTGACGCTTAGCGGTGCATTAGCTTAGCGATTTTTTGTCGCTAAGCTAGCGCTAAATCCTTAGCGCACTCAAGCTAAGCTAATCAAATTTTGATTTTTCCTTTAGCGGGTCTGCGCTAAGCTAAGCCGGGAGCTTAGCTATCAAAAAAATACATGTTTTAAGTGCAAAAAAGGGCCGCTAAGCCGCTATTAGCGGTTTAGCGGCCAATCAATTGGCTTAGCGGGTGTCATTTTACGCCCGCTAAGCTAGGAATCCTTGAATGTTCTGATCTGCTGTTCTGTGTTTCTCTTGAATGCATAATTTCTCTTCCATTTCTTCAAAAACTAATTAGTATAAGAACCAAAAAAAAGTTCATTCATCACAAAAAAAACCAAGACAAAAATTATATTTCTTCCTTGCTTCAAACCAAGTTTAATTTCCTGAAATTACTTCAACAATCAAACCAATTTCTATGTTCAAAAGGATCAGATGAAAGTTGAAGAATAGATTGAAATCCTTTTTCTTTTGATAGTTATATCAAATTCAACAGAATTCTAAATTGTATGTGTTGAAATTGGTTTAATTTCCAATACTTGTGGTATGCTTTGTTTTAATTTCTTTTCCATCATTTCAATGAACCAAGAACATCCAGTCTGAGAGAAAAACACATGAATCCTTGCTTTAGTTTTTGTTTCTTGTTGTGAGTTTGGTGATGAGCTTACCATTGCATCTAACTGATTATATCAATTCATATTCATTAGGTTTTGGGTATTCTTTCTTACAGAAATTTCATATTCTTTTAGTCAATGAAGCATATTATTGAAATGTCATTAAGCCTATTCAAAAAACAAAAAAGCCAGTGAGTTAATTGAATCAGAGCTAAAACCAATTCAAAATGTTGATGTTTACCTTCTCTAATTGATTTGTAGATCTTTTACTATCAAAATGATACCTAAACCCAAGTTCAATAGGTTTTACTACAGCTTTGATTGCTATCAAATCAGGCATTGGGAACCAAATCACTTTATAATCTAAATTGGTATCTAGATGATGAATTAATAATTACTTGAAAATTTTCTAATCTATACATATACAAACAAAAATAAAATAAATGTTAGTAATTGAGAAAATTTGAATGACTCGATCTGGAATTGACAAATCTTGAAATGAATTGAAAATGTGAATGGATTCTGAATTTATTGGAATTATAGAATTTTTCATTGGTAATGGAAATTGAAGCTCTTTGTCAAATGCTAAAGTTAGATTACTTGAAAGAGAGAAAAAAATCAACTAATAATCAAATTTTATCTTTGATCTCAGTTTTGGAATGAAAAAAAGGTTTAGAAGAGATATTTTGGTAAGCACTTTAAGATGGTCTGGATAATTATTTGGATTGACTCAATTATGATACCATGAAGTAATTCTAAGATATTCAAGTTCCATTTATTTTGAATTCAATCAATTTAAAAACATTCTATTGTTTCATAAGTTCAAACCGAATTGGTTGGAACATCTTCAATCTTGATGCGATCTGCTTCTTTGGTGTATTTATTAGAATTGTTTCTGCATGGGTTCAAACATCTATAATAAATTATATCAATTTTTTAAATGTTGAAGTCGGTGGAACCCTTGGATTTGGGTTGTTAATGTTCTTGATGTAGGGTTTTGAAGACGATTGATAAAATTGTCCTCTGAGTTTAGAAATGATCAATTGGTTTTTCTCATTTTTTGTTCGGTTTTAAGAAACAACCAAGAAAACAATCATAGAGCCTTGAGTTAAATGGTGCAATGTAGAGTTTGTCTTTGAATGACTAACGTTGTGGTTGGAAATGTCGTGATTGGACTTCTTTAGAAGAATGCGATAATTGATCATATTATATTCAAAATCAAAACAAAAAGCAACAGATTAATCGCAACGTTGATAACTCCTAATGATTTTTTTGGATAATTACCTAAATCACATTCCCTTAAAGTTCGTAATCTTTGATCAGACCAAATGAATTCTTCAAGTCGATGAATCGATGCGTGATTGGTTCGAGGGAAGCGGGAGGTGTTTGACAGAAACCCTTCGATTAGAGGATTCCAGAGATGCACGCGAGTGCAGACATGGGTAGATCGACCGAGAGCAGCTCTTCCAAACTGTTACAAATCACGAAAATAGTGATGGCAATATGGGGATTTCAATCAATTCGGAAAAATAACATAAAAGAGACCCGCCCTGAGTATCGTCTCTGCCTTTGTATGAGGACTGAGAGCAAGCAGAGAGAATGCAGAAGTGGAGAGACGGTCAGTTCAGTCTGATTAGTAAATTGATTGATAGTAATCTTACTCTCACCATGATTGTTTTGATTGAGTCATAAGTTATGAAATTTTGTTGATGATAACAATGAATATATCAAAGTCGGATAGCAAGGAAAGTATCGGTGTGACTTCTGATGTTTCTTTTCAATTTTATTTCCAGCGTTTGAACTTTTCAGACTTTTCAACCACTCATTTGGATTTAATAATTAAAAAGCTAAACCGGATCAAATTGATGATATTGAATCAAATGTGGAGCCAGGAATGGAAAAGATAAACGATGTTGATGAGAAAGTTGAACAACTGTAGTAGCTGAAAGACAATCTCCAGTTAGGATTTGTTTTTCAACTTCAAACTTTCTAGCTCTTCTAAGTATATCATCAAAATCATCAATCAAAAACCAGGCTTGGTAAGTTGATGTTGAAAATCTCCATTACTAATTTGTTATTGAATTAACCTGAATAAACTTATTTTCCATTATAAATTCCATGAAAGATTTGATCTGATAAATTTGAACCATATCCAGTTGATAGTTTGTAAACAGCATTTATAATTCAATCAGTGAACCA